CATCTTTATTAGCTGCTGCTGCCACTATGCTGTTGAAAGTACAATTGCAAGATCAAATCCCGGATTTCTTCTCGTTTGCTTCTGATCACCTGACGAGGAAACCACTTCTCCAGATTCATTGGCTGTTCAAAGTTATCTATGGGATTCTAGTAACGAAAAAAAAAAAAAGAAAGAAATATTTACAGCATGAAAGCATGAATTACGCATGAATTTCCTAAAGAAAGCTTCAAAAAATATTTTCAACTGTCCCCCATTATTGCTGAGGTGCACAAACCAGTCACCATGAGACATGTGACAGGCTGCAAAATCAAATCCACTCCCTCCATGTCTATCACACATATGCATAGACTTATCCTGAGCTACTCATGGTGAATATAACACCAGTTATCCTCATTTCCCTGAGATATACATCAGCATAAACATTTATTCAGTGCATAGACCACATTCTCTGTGGGACCACTGGACACAATCTTGCTACATACCGGCGGATAACGTCTGGTCACAAAACACTCGGCACTCGGCAATAAAACATAAGAGGTTTGGTGGCCTCAAGCACTTTTCAGTTTTGTTTTGTTTTTTTAAAAAAAATATTACTGGCTGGTCTGTCTGATAGATGAAAGCAAAGCAGCAAGAATATTCCCACAAACTTCATCAGGAAATGAGAGGAGGGGACAGTTCAAGACAATACATGACAGCAAATTAAACAGCCAAGGTACGCTGCCAGCTCTGTCAATAAGACCACACAGCATCTTGTTTGTCTAAGTCCTTATTTTATCCTCTATCCCTCTTCATTCTTTTGCAGTGCTTACATTTCACCTTCTCCTTCCCACAATACAGCAAGTGGAAAAAAGGGAAACCACAGTATGATTTGTGTTCTATGAACCCTGAATATGTTTAGAACAAACGATATTTACTTCATTCAGGCCTTGCTTTTGCATTGGAAAATGGCTGTTTTGGAAGCATTGGTAAGTAATTTTATCTTCCACCTACAAAAGATCTCAACTCTTCTTTTCTACTATAGAAGAAAAATCTGTCAATTGGCCATGGCCCCACACAAGCCTTTCCACACAACCGTATGACCACCAGGCAAACGGAGCTAGGGCAGCCAGGAGCACTCACCAGGGTGAAGGAGAACTGGGGAGACACTAAGTGTCTGAAACCCACCAGATGTAGATGTTAAGACAATGTGCTAGACAGGAAGGAAACAGATTCCCTCTGCCTCGCACATTCCCTTTGAAGGATCTCCCCATCCCTCTGTTTGCTGCCTGCACAAAACCACTCAAAGGCCAACAGACAAGCTGAGCAAATTTTAGTGGTGCAAAGGGACCTTTTTCATGCCAGTCATCTCTGGCATGAAAATATGAAAACTACGTGGGCTTCAAATACACCCATATGTGAAGGTCCCTCAATATGTCAATTATCACTAAACCACAAGGCCAGAAACACCTGGCCAGGAATTGCAGAACAGAAACTTCCTGTGCTCCAGGCATAAAGACTACTGCCCACTACATGAAGAATGGATTTTGTCTCCTGTTTCTCAAATGGCTTTGACACTTACAAAGCCTAAGCATCACAGGCTTTTCTGTCTGGATATTTCACTCAGAAACAAAGTTTGGGTTTGCTTTGGGGAGTGGGGTATGTAGTTTCCATTTGTACCTGGAAGAAGCTTTCCACATATTGCAGTAAATATACACCACAGTCACTGCTGTTATCCTGTTTAGGCACTCTAGGACAGAAGTCCATCATTGATGATTTACTGAATTCCCGTCGAGTTTTTCGTTTAACTTCCCATTCTGCTTCCAGGTACCTATAAAGGAAAGAAAACAGATTAAATACTTAGGAAAACTTCCCAGCTCAGTACCCTTTAGGATGTTGCTCAATTTTGTTCTGGAACTGGTCACGGTGTTTTAAGAGTCTTAACCAATTTCCTTCACAGAATCTGCCAAAGGAATTCATATAAGCAAGCAACACAATTTTATCAAAAATCCAAAATTTTATTACATCAAGATGCAACTCTACCATATAATGCATACAGTACACAAAACAGGAAAGATGCATAACTTCATTAAAATAAAAAGTCATTGCACTGAGTTTCTTCAAGCTTATAGGATATTTTTTTAAATCTTGAACTAAAGGAGGAACTGAAGTTATCCTTCAAAGCTACCACACATCATTTTTTTTTTCCTGGGGTCACCTTAAGAAAGCCAAGCTAAGCAAACTGCAAAACAATTATTAGAATTAATCTTATGAAGAACTTCAGTTACAATCACACAGTATAGCTCTTGCAGCCTACCAGTATATAAGGCAGGTAAAGACTTTCAACCTTCTATGATATGATTATGACTTGTTTAGCATCAGGCTTCTCCACGGTTTTCTTGCTTCAGTGGATCCTTACTGATTCAGCTTTCTAAAATGGCCACTAATTTTGAACATATGACTGAAAACATAAGGGTCTTGTTTTCAAAAGCAAAAGAAACAGGAAAAGAAACAAATACACAGGCTTCAGGGAATAAAAATACACAAGTTGGAACTTGTGTTTTATTTCTACAAGCCTCAAATCCTTGCAATTCTAAGAATAAAAATACATACATAACACTCCAACAGCTTTTGAGAATAGGGTCACTTCCGAAAAGAAAATGAGCATGATATTGAATCCAAGATGGAGAGAGATCAGTGAAGCACATATCCTATATTAATGACTTAAGACATGAAAATAATTTTATTTCAACTTGAGCTCTGCCTAAAGATGAAGAAAATTGGCTTAAGGAAAAAAAGAGGTAATAAAACACCTGTACTAGTGTTTCCTTAGAATGCTACTCTCAGGGTGCAATTGCAAAGTGATGTGTCTTTTCTTCAAACTGGAGGAGTAAGAGATCTGCTTTCCAAAGTTCACAAATATCAGGCTTCCAGAAGTCACCTCTTTTTGTTCTGACTTTTGAAGACATCCCTCTGACTCAAGGAAACCACCTTCTCTAGAGTTACATTCCCTGTAGTAGCTCAAAGTGTTGGGCACTATGTTAATATATCCCATTGGAAACATGGGGGGGAAAAAAAAAAAAAAAAAAGGAAAAAAGAAAAAAGAAAAAAAAATTGCCATTTCATTCTTTCTCCCAAGACAGATGTGCTAGGAGGTCTCTCTGTCTAGGGAAAAGATGGTGCCACAAAATTTACCAGTCATCCATCCACTCTTAACATATGAATGTATTATGTGAATTTACTTTTATATGATTTAAATGATTCTTTTTCCTTTCAGTGAAACAAATACAAGGGACAAAGAACAATTAATTTTAGCTTCAGCTACTTAGTATTATCAACTTTATAAAAAAATTTTGATAGAACTTAAGTTGTTAGTAGTGTGTTCAAGTACTGGAAGTTGGAATCCGTTCTTCAAGTACTTAAATACTTATCACATAAAAACTACATTTTTATTTCCACTTTTCAAAACACATAGTAATGTTCCATCTAACTATACGGACACATCAAAACTTTTAGACAGCTTCCGTTTGGATACTTCGCTTTTGCACATGTGTAGGAGTAGATTCAATGCAGGAATTCTGTCAGCTACATAAAATCAAAGAATCTTTAAGGTTGGAAGGGACCTCTAGAGGTCATCTAGTCCAACTCCCCTGCACACGCAGGGTCACCTAGAGCACGTGGCACAGGACTGCGTCCAAGCAGGTTTTGAAGATCTCCAGAGAAGGAGACTCCACAACCTCTCTGGGCAGCCTGTTCCAGGGCTCTGTCACCCTCACTGTTAAGAAAATTTTTCTTAAGTTCCTGTGGAACTTTTGGTGCTTCAGTTTGTGGCCATTACCTCCAGTTCTGTCACTGGCTACCACTGAAAAGAGGCTGCCCCCATCTCCTCTTCACTCTCTCCCTTGAGGTACTTATATACACTGATCAGGTCCCCTCTCAGCCTTCTCCTCTTCAGGCTGAACAGGCCCAGCTCCCTCAGCCTCTCCTCATAGGGCAGATGTTCCAGGCCCCTGATCATCCTTGTAGCCCTGCGCTGGATATCAGGATAATGTAGGCAGCACTTTGGAAAAATAATCATTTAGTTTTTGAAGTATTGCTTTTAAAAAATTGCTATTTCTGCTCTTTGAAATATCTTCTTTATTGAACTGCAAGGAATAAAAACAAACAAAAAACACTCTAGAAAATCCTCAATCTACTTCTCCATGTGTTTTTCATTTTTTAAAAAGAAACTAGTTTTCAATTTTTACATTACTGCTAGGCTGCAGAACAAAATCAGTATTGTCATCCAAACCTCCATATTGCCTTTTTTTTTTTTTTTGGGGTCTGCCTGTAGATTTCCTTTAAAATATGCACTGAAGTGTATCCCTTTAAGGAAAAGTATTTTGAACATTAAAGTCTGACGAAGAGAAACCCTCTCTAATAAAGGACAACTGCAGTTACTTACTCTCTCAACACCTGTACTGTGTTCTGCCAGGAGCCAGCTTTTAAAGAATCTAAGACGAGTATACAAGGCCTGTAAACAATGAAAGGAAAAGGGCAGTTTAATCTCTCACTACCAGTACCAATTAAGCAATAACTGGATAAATATTGGAAAAAAACAAACAAGCAAGCAAAACACCTCTACAGTTATGGCTTTGTAACAAATAACTGACTCAATAACTGCAGAATTTCTTAGTATAAAACCTTTAAAATATAATGTTAGCTTGAAAACAGAAACTTACCTTTTACAAATTTGCCTTCTGGAATTAATTGAAGAGTTCTAGGAAGAGACAAAAAATACTTAAAAAACTACAACAAGTGAAAACCCAAAGGTCTTCACAGATTTAAAGGTAAAGCAAGTCAGGGTCCTACTTCAGAAAGGGACAAATTGATAGGAAATTTTAAAAAATGAAGCCATAACAGACAACTTGGGTAAACCAAGGAGGACTTCAGGCTAACTCAAACTGCTTTGCACATGCTGCAAGCTGCAAAAGCAGCAGCAGCTGCTGCACACAAGATAATAAAAAGTAATTTGTTCAAGTTTCGACTCCTAGGAAGTAGAGTAATATAGGTCTTCTCTGTCATTACAGAGGGTTCTTACTTTAGCAATATCTGAGGGAAGAACTGCAGCAACATGGTTGTCACCTAGAGAGAAAAAAAAAAAGAAAGTTTTAAGAATTTAAGAATTTTCTAACTCTTTTCAAATTCACAATTATAAGTGCTAAAATATTGTGATAGGATTGAGCCACAGGTTTCATATGTTCCATTGATTTCCGAAGAGCTGCAGAAAGCAAGAATGCATGGTAACACAAGAACATGTTATACTAATCTTTCATTTCACGTGTTTTCTAAGACATCACATCTCTCCTTGGATTAAGGCACTACCAGAACTGTGTATGGCTTGGTACAATCATCTACCTTTTGTGAATAAAATTCTATTTGCATCCATATGTCCGTCCTTGCAGTTACCAGGAAAGGCCAACACTGACTCAGCTGTAGTGCTCTGACTCTCCTCTGACTGGGGTGGAGATTCTTGAAGCTGGTCATAAAACGAAGACTGATGGGGACATTCCTCATATACGGCCTCTTCTAGCCACGGAAAACAGATAACTGCAATGTACCAATGAGACCTGCCCAGCAGCGAGGAGAGGGAAAAAAGGAGCAAAACTGTAACACTTGGTTCTGAAAAGCACATGAAAAGTTTTTATAGCACTGAGAGGTCATTGGCAACTGTTTTATGGTAGGTAACCAGTGCTGCCATTACCATGTTCCTTCAATAGCATCTCATACAGGTCCTCTCACAGATTGTGCTTTGCATTTTACTTGGTGAAACTGCAAGATTAAGCAGCAATTCTTTTAAAAAACAGAACAAACCCACCGCAGGAATTTGTCACCATCTCACCACCTACCCCACACTGAAGGAATAATAAAATAATAAAATAATCTGTGACAAAGACCCTGGTTTAGAATATACCAGAGGGTATATCATGTCTCAATCCCCATCTCTGTCCTCAGCTGTTCTGCATACGTAGCTCTCAGTGATTTTCCATGTGCTGGGTAGCTATTCAGCTAGGAGCAGGCACAGGCAGCAGAAGTGCTCCTGCTCTTTTTACCACTAACTCTACGCACTACTGGGATTTCTTCATAGAAACATTACTTAAGTGAACATGAACTATCACAATGACACATTTAAATTATTTTGAAATATATTAAAAAAAACTTTCAGAATGACTAAGGAAAAGAAACGTAAAGCTTACTGAAGACAACTATAAAAAAAAAAAAACACAATTTGAGAGGCTTAAAAATTACTCATTTCACATACCAGTATTGCTGCTTCTTCAAAATCTAACATACTTATTTCTAATATGTTTGTTTATTGATTCAGGTATACAGCGATAAATCTTTAAACTACCAGAACACTGAAGTATTTAAATTTTAATTAACAGAAAAATGTGTATAGAATTGAACAGACTTACTCCTCATTCACAGGCACAAAGATATAATCTTTATTGAAGATGTTTATATGACGAGTCCAAGTTCTCACTCTTTTGTGTCTTCTCTGTGCTGCTCTGTGGAAATCAAATGACAGTTACTAGTTCTTTTCAGTTCAAGTAAGGTATAGGGATTGGTAATCCTGTATTTCCCCAATGCTTCAGTAGATTTTTCATTTATTCATGAAATTCCCCAGAGAAAATAAAACAGCAAAACATTAAGCCTAAGTGACTTACAAGCCAAGCAGACCAATATAAATGTTGGCATTACTTGAACCACCTTGAAATCCTTTGCATAAATTATCCATAGGTTTCAAAGTTGGAAAGGATTTGCTGCAATTATTTAGCCAGGCCACCAGACTGCACTAAAGGCAGAAAGGCCCACCAGAATATCCGTCACTGATCGATACCAACACCCAAACACTTAATTCACAATACACCTGCCTAAGCCACCTTACTGTTGGAAGGAAAAGCCAAATGCCTTATATAGGGCCACAGCACACCTATCTAAGCAAAGCCAGAAGTAAAAAAACAGATTTTCTCCAGCTTTGGCCTTTACCCATTGGATCACATTCTCTTTATGGTTCTACAGTGTTCTACAGATTTTCACTTGTGACCACAGACAGAACTAGAGGTAATGGCCACAAACTGAAGCACCAAAAGTTCCACAGGAACTTAAGGAAAAATTTCTTAACAGTGAGGGTAACAGAGCCCTGGAACAGGCTGCTCAGAGAGGTTGTGGAGTCTCCTTCTCTGGAGATCTTCAAAACACGCCTGGATGCCACCCTGTGCCACGTGCTCTAGGTGACCCTGCTGGAGCAGGGGAGTTGGACTAGATGACCTGGAGAGGTCCCTTCCAACCTTAAGCATTCTATGATTCTGTGATACAGACAAAGTATGAGGATGGGATTATAGGAGACTAAAAAAATCCAAGGAGAAATTCAGATTACATAGACTTTTTACTCTGCACAAGAATAAATGATAATTGATAGTATAAATTTTGCTCCAGTGTCTACCACATGCAAAGTTCATTTTAATCAGGAGACATCCTTTAGTGCCATCCTAACTAAATCCTGGTCCATGCTCGAGAGATAACTTGACTGTGGGAGGAATGGAACAGAAGGAGTAGGAAGGGGGATGGAAAAGCAAGCTACTGCAGGGCTCCTTAGGGGCAGCACAAAGAGAAAACTTGTGCAGATTTCCTCTATTATGTGATTTTAGAAGCTAGAGAACATAACAGGGGAAGGCACTTTTAGAACCTAGAAAAGCATCTATGAAAGGAGCACAACAGAACTTAATTCACTAGCTAAGTTGTGTGGAGAAAAGAAAGTAAAAGGACTTCAAGCCAGGTAGCCTACACCTGGGGAGCTTAATTATTCTAATTTGGAGCCTGCTTTTCCAGCATGCACACTTCAAAAACTGTATTCACTGAGTAAATATCTAACCCTAAACAAAGATAGCTTTGGGACTCATATCTCACAATTTGCAGCAGCTAGACACCTTGAAATACGATGCATTAGTGCCATTCTTCTCCTGTGTAGAGGGTAAGGACAGTCCAGCCTTACAACAGGAATCAGATAGAGGCATAACAGCACTCTTAAGGATAACGGCGTCTCTGCTGCAGAACATTCACGGTCAGAAGACAGGCACAAAAATGTATGGAAGGCACATTCGAGGAGGTCTCCTTGCTTTTTAAAGACTTTCAAAAATATCACAGAAGCTCCATTTTTCTCTAACTTTTGTCCAGAAATGTTTGCCTAGCACAGAAATAAGATGGCACATCTGTACATGCATGTGGCCCTGTTAGTTGAAAGTCCCCAAAATCTGGGGATTTCATGAAGAGCAAATGAAAAATCATTTCTGACAACAGGAAAAATCTTCAATAAGATGAGCAATGACAATGGATTGAAAGCAGCTGTCAGATAACTCAGTGAAGTGGTAAGACTCAAACATAAGCATTGAAAACTGAGTGTGAGTTACATTTAGCCACAATTTGGGAAAATACTGATTTATTATTTTATGTGCTAATTAGAATACAATCTACAGAACTGAATAGCAGCAACAGATTCTCTAGCTCTGATCATTACGGCATATGAAGCATTGAAGCCAACTTACGTAACTTTGGGATCTCCTTCGGAGTTTTTTTCTGTCCTGGTCAGGCACTTATAGAAGAAACTGCTAAAAATGTGCGTACGGTCAGCAAGGTGTTTTGGAGCTTTCTCCAACAAGAGGTATCTATCAAAGAAAAAATAAATCAATTTCCATTCTAAAAAAACATCATTCCTAACATAAAAGCAGCATAATTATTCCCTGACTTTTCACCACGGGCTATGCTTACCTTCAGTTGTCTTCACAGCTTGCCTTCATGTCAAGCTTTTCTGTCTACTGCATTTTGAATGTGCATATCAACGTATATCACCGCACTATATAAATGCCAAGCAAGTTACCTTACCCCTTTACCTCAGATTTGTGTTTCAGTATTAATGCTTTAGTTTGTTTTTAGTTATGTTTCTAGCCCTTGCAATTAAGATAAGTTTGAAAACCTGTCCAAGAATAAGCTCATACAGTATTATTTTACTGAGTATGCAAAAAGCACACAGCTCAGTAGTATAAATTGCCCCTTTTACTTATATATGTTATGCTTGTAAAATCTAGAAGAGACATTCTAGAAGTTTATGGTTTTACCGTTGATCATTTTACCATAAACATCTGCTTATGTGTTTATTGAACAACCCCAGATTGTCAAAGCTCTCAAAACTGTCATCTTCCTACATGAGGTACTTCCAGCCTCACCTGATAACTTGGGCAGCAGTTATCCATTACACAGCTCATAACACAGTGAACACTGACAATGTGGGCAGACATCTAACATTTAAAAAGCAGATGTAAATGCTTGCAGTAAATTCCTTTATTCAAATCTTCCTGTTCAGATGAAGCTACATCAAGAGTGGAAACCATACTGCAAAATTTACTTCTAGTTTACAGTTGAATAAAAAGGGCTTTGCTGTAAAGCCACATCAAGCATTCAGGTACATGTTGCATGTCCTGTCCTCTCTATAGTATCTGTACATCGGAAGGATTCCTGAACTCTTGCACAGAATAGCTGAGGATGCTCCGATTCATGCAAACTTAGTAATGAGCTACTCAGTATAGACCACCATTTTGTTCATCTGCCGTCTTAAAACTGCTTTGTACTTCCCATTCTGTGAAATCCTCATGAGCTTTTTTACCTTCCTAAGCTGTAGCAATCCTCAAGCAGGAATTAGGCACTGAACTAATGAAAATCCATAACTCCTAATGCTTTAGGCCTTGTGGGGTGGGAAGAAACTCTCACTGTCCTAGCTAAATTATTTGTATGACATTAAGAACTTCACATTTAGTGCAGATGGACATAATTAAAATACATTTAGTTCTTGAACAGGAACAGTAGTTATTCAGCTTTGTCTGAAGTACATCGCAGCCTATTAGAGGGGCAATAAAAATGAAAGTGAAATAAATGAAACTAATGAGAATACTCAAAAGCTTAAAAAACCAAACATACAATTTCATCATATTATTTTTAAAACAGTTGTATCACAATCAATGATCAACATCTACATCTACATTCAAGATTGCATCAAGCCTCTGAAAGAAGAGGACAATTAAATCTCCAAGCACTTACTTAAGATAGAAATCAATGATGACATCATTGAGAAATTCTCCATATTCCAAGCATTCCAGATCTTCTCTTGTGACTCCCAAGCCTCCTTTTGCAGGTGGAGGTGGATAAACAATCAAACTAGAAAACACAGATCACATTGTAGCAGTGGCAAACTGTTTTCTTTTTCTTTTTCTTCTTATTATTATTCTCACACTCCACATCTAAAAGATTTTTCCAGAAAGGCTGCTGAAGTGGTTGTTCTCACCGCTGCTGAGTAGTTCAAAAGCCTGTTACATTTCCTTCCTTCAATAGTGAGAGTGTTTACATAAGAAATATTGCCTCGCCCAAAAAAATTGTATAAATTTGGGAAAGGAAATTATTTTTACCTTCAACTTTTATTTATTTTTAATAAATATAGCTGTATAAAAAGGGAAGAAATGGTACAGCACAGATTGCACATTTAAATAGTTGTAATTGTGATAGAAGAGTAAAAGAAAATATTGGCTAGGGAAGAAAAATAGCTCAGTCTAAGTTAGCAACAGTTTTGCTTTGACAGGCACTTAGACACACATTCACAGAGGCAACAAGATCTCTGCCCTCCCATTGATGTGTCCATGATGTCAGCACATCTGTAGTCAAAGTTCAAGTATTCACAGATTTCTGTAACATTCTTGGTCATTCATCCTCTCTTATCTATTAGGACTGAAGCACGAATGACCATATTCATATTCAGTAGCACTGTATATTTATATAGCATATATATTTTATATTTTATAGCACTTATATAGCATGTCACCCGAGATTTTCAAATTAACTAGAAAAGTGAAATTAAGACAGGACTTTTCTTCCAGCACTTCTTTTATTCAGTGTGCTTTATTTTCACCTTCCCATCTAAGTGAAAGATACATACTTCTTAACTGCTTCAGCTTCTCTTACTTCTTTCCACTCTTCATTCAGCACAGAGGACAGAGAAATGGAATAGCGGCCACTGTTCTGCTTGTTTGAAAGGGCATAACTAGGCCTGGCCACTTTTGGTTTTGATTCCTGTCAAAAAAAATAAAAAATAAAAAATTACACAACTAGATATATAAAATAGACCCCAAAAACAATCAAAAAGCCTATGTGGAATGGCTAAGGTGCCCTGCTCCTCCTACACACTGCCTCTGCTCTGCTGCACCCAGTTCACATAGAGCTCGGGGGAGAAATGAGCCTCTATTGCTCCTGCTTTCATTAACTCTCAACTTGCCATCCTGAAGACACCAAGAGAGGTGAAATCATGTGGCTTTAGGCACACACAGCTATGAATCAACCAAAAATTCATTATTTTCCACTTACTAGTGCTGATGACACCTCTGTACCATCTTTCTATGGGCACCTTACTGTTAAGTCTGGCATTTTACTGTTAAGCCATGCCACATTGTGAGGGATAAATCACAAATGTTACTTTATTTTAAGCTATGGATAAAGAAAGAATTTATTCTTAGCAATTGGCTAAGCTAAAATTTACTCTAACTTGTGAATTCCAGAAGATAGCATGTGATAGGTACTCACTAACCTGAAATGCAGGCTCCTGCACATTGGACGTATTCTCTTTCGGCACACATTGCTTTAGTAGATTCTTATAGTAACTCATAAAGGAGCTCTCCTCAGCAGAAAGATCCTTTAACAAAGGGAAAGCTTGCTTCAAAGACAAAACCTCAGGGAGATCTGGTGCTCTGTTCTTCTTGCTCACATCTGTAATTAATTCAGTCAGTTTATCTTCTTCCCAGTCTGTGAGTGGCTGGGGCAGTTCAAGAAAAACAAATTCACTAGATTTGGCTGGAAAAAAAAGGGAAGAGCAAGCATTAACACACTAAGGCGGCAGAACAGAATCATAGAAAACTTTTCACACCATCAAACTGTAAAACCACTACTCTGATTTGTTTCAACAAGTCTCTATGTACAGTTCAAAAGATTTAAATTATTATGCATATTTAAAAAGCATAAAACATTTAAGCATAGAAATTTAATAGCAACTCCTGGAGGTTTCTTCTTGATTTTAGTAATCAAACTAAATAAACCTGATCTTAAGATGGCTTGCAGCTTCAGACTTGACTTCCACTCT